TGTAAACAGTTAACTACATATGTGAACTAGTGTATAACCGGTCGACAAATATTGGCATTCCAACGGAGATCCTAAAAGAATTGTTATTAAGGTATACCATGAATATAAATTTCAAATTTGAGAGCATACTTTACAGACAAGTGGATGGGGTGACGATGGGCTCCTCATTAAGTCCAATTTGGCGGATTTCTTTCTAAGTAAACTAGCAAATTGACCTTCGAACAACGTTGTCAGAAAATTCTAATTTCATTACCGGTATATGGAGGACACGTTTATTCTTTGTGATAATGATTCGAATAAGAACACAATAATAATTCAGTTCTTTGAAGTACATTCTGCTATGAAATTCACGTGGGAAGAGGAATCCAAAAATGGAATCAATTGTCTTACTAGATTCCTCCTTACAAGAAAACCAGATGCTGGTATGAAGAGAAATTTACTTAGGAAAAGCACACGGGCAGGACAATATACACGTTTCCATAGCTTCGTTCCTCTCTAGTACAAAAGAAGTTTAGTGAAGACCCTCAGCCACAGGGTTAGAGCTATATGCTCAGAAGAGGTAAGTGAAGATGACATAAGGATTGTATATGACACCTTGATTGAAAATATCTATCTAGACAAATTCATCAGGAAACATATGACTAAGAAAGTTGAAAAGGACTATTCACTATCCGTAAACGAGAAGCCTTTCTACATACAAGTGCGATTCATGGGCGATATACCTAGTGAAATAATTACGAAGAAGTTAAGAAAATCAATTCAAAGAACTCTCAGTGCTGGCAAACTACAAGTCATATTTTCTACACAACCGATGATGATTCCCCAGTTGAAGACTGAAGTACGTAGACTAGCCACCTCTAATTGTATCTACTAATTCAGCTGTGCTTGAAGAGCGAGTTATATTGGCCATTGCTCTAGGAACTTGATTTTTCGTGCTCATTTGGAAACACCTACTAATGTGGCTAAATAAAGGTGTTACAAAAACCATCAATAGTTCGATATTAGACCACCTGGTCCAAACCGACTACAAAGCCAGCCAGCATTGATGAGTCCTTCTCTATCATCTACCGGGTACCAAATAAATTGCCAAAAACATCCAGATTTCGCGTATTCCAAACAGCAGAGGTCATTGTGATTCGTTTGAAACAACTGGTGCTCTGTGTGCAGAGGAAGTAAGTCCAGCCACTACTACTGTGGTGAGTGCTACTTATAATCCAATATAAGTAGTATATCAAAAACGAATTCAGAAACGTAACAATATGTTTTGCACACTGGAAAGAGCAATCGAAGAAGAGAACCATGAGAAGAATGTTTCCATATGATGCAGAATCCAAGAAGCTATCGAATGTGACGATATTCGACCAATACGTCAAGGATGTGGTAAATGATGTTCAAATGGCAGTTTGAAAATATGGTATACGAAATTTACCTATGTACAATACGTTCCCCCAAAGAAGCATTCCTTCCAGCCTCCTCGGTCTTTTCTTCTTTACACTACTGCCCTGGCTAGCCTCCAGTGGAGACTAAAAGTTCATGGATTTGTACTATTACCTTTCATAATACCCCTGATATTGAGTGTGTATTGTTATTTTGATGCTATCGAACTGTAATCCATTGATATCATTAGTATTATCGATTCAATGTTATTTAAACAACATTAATGTTGTTAGTAACACTAATTCATTGACTATTATGTATATGTAACTGTAGAAGCTGATGGAGAAGGGGTTATTGCAAAGAATATTCTGTGCTCAGTAATCATTCGTTTAAAAATATTACTTAAAAAGTAAGAGGATTTGATCAAAATCTTAGTTCTCAGCACTATTCAGGTGATGACATTAAACTTTATTTGACTAAACGGTAGTGACACAGAACCAACGTGGTTTAATTAACTAGCAATTTTTGAAAGTGTAACTAGTTTCAAGTTAATTCAATTACTTGATGAAAAATGCACTTTTGAAGATAAAACGACTGAAACTACAGTTTTGCAATGAAGTAGCTAAAAGTGAGAAAAGTGGTGTCGCGTCGCTCATTCTGATGCTTTGTTGAGATTAGGCTTTACTTAGTTGTACTTTAGACATGTAGAACCTAATACACTGTTCCATCAAACCCTTGTTCGCTGTTTTGAAGAAAGTAACAGCAACAGATTAAGCAGGATAAGATGACATAATTTTATTCCCATACAGTATTACTGGTCAGTAATATTGTCGATCTGTATATTCATTTGTCAGCTGCACAATCAAATTTTTAAAGTCATAGCGAAAACAAAATCTTAAGGAGCATCATTTTGGAGAGAATGAAGAATGTACTGGATGGAAAACTTGGTGAAGAATAGGCTGGATTGAAGAGAAAACTAGCCATGCATAAATCAGGATACAACAGCAGGCAGCATCATCAAATACAGCGTAGAATGGCAGTCAGTTTCCTACCACAATTTAATCGACTTTGAAAAGGCTTTTGACAGATTCGAGTGTGAAGTAATTTGACCACCCCTTCAACACTACACAGCATAGTACTGCAGAAATTTATGAAGACGATTCAACAGCAATATAAAGAGTCTAAATGTAATATGATTCACAGAGAAAAGGTTGCAGGAGTGTGTGATATGAAGACACGAGTAACTCAGAGCTACCTTCCCTGACTCATGATCTTCCTGATTATGGTGGGCTGAATCATGTGGCAGATCCTGCGATCCTGAGAAGATGTGCATATGCTGGACTAATAAATAGATCCTAGAAGATATGTACATCCCGGATAATATATTTCTGATTTCACACGAACTCGAAGATCTTCAAGTAGGAACTAATAGGTGGACAGAAGAGATAGCGAAGATAGGACTTCAGCTGAACCAGGCGAAGACAGATGTAATGAAGATACCCAACCAACCAAAAATTACAAATACCAATCACAATAAATAGGAGAAATTTAGAGGAGTTTGTTTCTTCAACTTTTCCGACTTGTGAGGTATTGTTACGAATATGGGAAGGCAGTATAAATAAGGGTTTGAAAGCCAGACAGGATTAGATCGGATTGCATCGGAAAAGCAAGACAGGGGTTTACCCATTTGAAGTAAGTATAGAGACCCATGCAACCAAAGAACACAAGGAACAAGATTCGAAGCCTTAATATTAATGTTGATCAAGTCATTGCTTCTATGTGGCTCAGAGAGTTGGCGCTTGCGTCACTAAAAGTATTTGTAGCAAAACCTCAGGCTTTCATTTTCACTTACAATTGGTCAGTACTGAAAAGGAGAGAATGAGTAACAAGGAACTCTGGCCACGAACCAGCCAAAAATCTTTGTCTGGGCAACCATATATGCAGAAGAAAACGGTAATGAACTGACCATACACTGAACGGGTCTTCAAGTGATATCCCACGTCAAACAGGTCCTCAAATCGAACCTGACTGGGAATCAATGAGATGGCTGTGATTCGGAGTGTGAAATCGTGGGGATACCTGAACATGACAGTGGAGAATTGAGTGCAATGAAGGTGTGCCGTTGATGTGGTATGTTCCGTTTAGGTTGTGGGGATTCAATAATGCTAATTAATCACTGTGCTGATTTTCCTCTTTGTTCTGTGTCAGTTACTAGACTCTTCTTAGAATTGTAACGTTGTTTTGTGTTTCTTCACTTTGGATACTACTTATATTTATTTATAAGTAGCACACACTAGACCACTACCTTTTTTATAATACAGTAAACTTATTAAATAATGTATTTACTTGGTAAGCTAAAGTAACTAACCAAACAGTGTGCATGTTTCCAAGCGTTAGGTTATAGGGATTTGATTGACTTCAGGGTTGGTCACGGATTGATGTCAGTTAGAGATCAAAATGTACTGGATGTCTCTTTCGCCCTAGCTTAAGACTTTTCAGAAGTATGCGCCCATGATCTCAGCTTTAGGGACCTTCAGTGATTAACTAACTGATGTTAGTTCGCCTTCAGCTTATGAGGCGAGGTCACTCATCATTCAGTCATTTGGGCTGGAATCTAATGACCTATGAGTTCTAACTTCTTTTACCTCCTGATTCTTTGACTTATATCAATCCATAATCGAACTTGAAACCAATCAAATCCCTACAAACTAACGCTTAAAGATTGACCCAACAGCCACTGGTAACCGATTATAGGATGAAGTTATCCGGGGTTCTAGTGAGAAGTCATGTCCAGCAGGATCCATCTGGTCAGGTATTTTTTTCCTTCCTTCACGTTCCCCAGTGGAACATAGGGCTTCAAGCTAGAGGCTTGAAGTTTCTGTAGCAGTGTTTATTTTACAGGATGGGGTTGCTAGCCTCATGCCCAACCTTTCCTCTTCACCAGCATTATTTCTTGCTTAGCGAGGTTTGGGAGTGCGTCGGTCGGGGATCGGACCCCGGACCATGTGCATGGTCGGCGAGCGTCCTGACCGCTGTGCCACCGACGCACCAGGTATAAGGACAAATATTCACCAGTGTCTTTGGCTAGTGGTAGTGTGGTGTGTGCTACTGATAAGATTTATCAGTAGTATATACATATATGTAAAGAGACTTTCATCAGCATAAAATCATCAAATAGCAGGGAGATAGATTTGATGTCAAAGAAAGCAAATGATACATCGTTGCGGAGGTACATGGGATACGTGAAAGGAACGCAAAGAAACACGCGCAATATGAAGGTGAGAAGTAGCATAACAGGGAAGATCTGTGCAAATGGTGAATTGAAGATAACGTGTATATAATTAGCCTATATAGAGATACCTAACTGCAAATAAACACTCCTTTACCAAGTCTTTCGTCTTCTACTGTTAAAGCAGCACTAAAAGCCGCGAATAAGCGTGTTTGTTTTTCAATATTATTATTGTAAATAAGCTCGGAGTGGACCGAACAGATAACTTTAATGTAAATACAGATATTTTGTTTTTCGGAAATGAATACAAACCCCTTATCATCATTTACACAGGCACTTAAATATATATTCAGACACTAGTGTTGTTTTTTTAAACTCTACAGAATACAAATACTCTGTAAATAATGATGTTTATTGAAGAAGAAAAAAAGTGTTAATTTGAAACAAAATGGCAAAATGATCTACAATACATCTGCAAGTTTGAAGAATTACATGTATGTGTGCATGTGTGTGTTCAAATAAACGTCCGAAGATGAAGGTCAACAAATTTTAACTGGCTTTGAATAGCATAGCACAGTATCCTTTTAAATGGAAGAATATGAAACCGTTTTCTTCGTGTGAGACGTAACTGGAAAGAAGAAGAAAGAAACGAGGGTAAATAACATTTTGGTATATACAGACCTAATTTTCTACATGTCATTTTTACATGTCTGTTTGTATTTCTCTCACCCCACTTATTGATTGCTACTTAATTTTTTCTCATGCTATTTATGACCTTTGAAATCCTATTGGTTGTTTAGTGTCTTAATTTATCAATGATATTAGTGCTTCTCAAGGTCTCATCAAACACATATGTACCCAAGCGCTGTTAACCTATTTTGACTGTTGTTTGAGACAGTAAAAGCTCTCTTACCAACGTCCGGTCTTTTCTTATGTCTTTGCAGTCCGGCGGTGTTATTATTATTATTGTTATTGTTGTTGACGTGCGATTAGGACAGATTAGCCTGCGCATTAAGTTAACATTCGCTCATACTCTACTAGGTCGTAGTTCTGATCATAATACATTTGTAATATGTATGATGTTGATGTAGTAAAATTAATAATACCTAGAGAAAATACAGTGAAGTAAGCTTAGGAAAGTATTCTAGTGAAATGCTTTGTGTCCGAAAATTGGCATGAAATGCAATACGCCTGAGGCAAAAGTTGGGAGTTGTTCATCGGTGAACACTTACTGCACCGTAGTATTCCTAAATTCACTCTTGCAGTGGGTCGTTGCGTATGCACTACTGAAGAAACTTTAGTACTTGTTGGTTCTTAATGTGTTTTCTAGCTGATATCTATTGACAGAACTCAGCATTTACAAAGAATGTACTCCTCTTCAATAAAATACTGGACAAAGTTAAAGATAATTCTTCTTTTGACGATTTCTTAGCTAGGACTTTCCACTTATAAGAATGAATCTACACTTTGGATGAACTGTGTGTATAGCCAACTGGATCGTGTGATTATGAACATTTAGTTGTATTCACAGTACTTAGAGTATTTGCTCTGATATCATAAAACGAAAATAATATTGTTAAATTAATTCCTTGCTTAGTGAAGATTATCACATGAGAATGTGACTACGATAATATCGGTTAGAAAGAAGAGAACTACAACACTATGGTGGGCTATGTAGAGAAATTTAAGCATTTGATGTTTGTTTCACTTCAATAATTTAGTTCAATAAACTGAATACGGATTACAAAATGGGCTTGAAATAGCCTCTTTGCTACTCATTCGGCAGTGGTTCTCAATTGTGAACTTCTTCACGAACTGATATCAGCCACAGTGTTATTTGAAAACCTACAGGAAACTGCATATTTATTTTTTTAGAGGCTCAATCTAAGATTAATTAGTTATGCGACTCTCCATGTGATGTTGTTTTACGAATCTCTGAGTTGATAGTAAGATATACCTGAAGTAGTGGAATATAAAACTTCTTGTACTTTGTAAAATGTTTTGTCATTCAGAAATAATCTTCAGCAGAGTTGTTTTAATATTATTACTTTTTCCTTTATTTCCTACAGGAACATAGGGCTTCAGCCGTGCGTCTCCATTGCGTTCGGTTCTCTGCTACAGTCTTCACCTGGCTCCAAGGCTGCCCACACGTTTTCATCTCCTCTTCACATGACCTCCTCCAAGTCACCCTCACCCTTGCACTGACGACCAACTCGCCGCTTCCCTTTCGGGTTTCACTAGAGCAATCGCTTGTCTAGTGGTGTCACTTGATGGTTTCCTCAGAGTATGACCAGCCAATCCATCTCCACTTCTTCCTGCCTATTTGTTTCACAATCGGTTCCTGGTTGGTTCGCTCATTGCCAGAGATCTCTGTTGTTGATCTTTTCTGGCCATCTGATCTTGAGTATTGAGCGAAGACAACTGTTAATGAAGGTTTGTAGTTTGTTTGAGATGCTCTTTATGACGCGCAGTGCAAGTCTCTGATCCGTATAGTAGCACTGACTGACTTCACATTGGAGTTGAAAATCCGGATCTTATTTTTGATTCTGAGTTCTGTTGACCTCCACACAGACTTGAGAGTAGTGTAAGCTTGTCTTGCTTTTCGGATTCTTGCTTTGATATCCTCGTCAGTTCTATCCGCCTGTAGTTGAAACAATGCTTCCCAAGTAGATAAAGGAGGTTGCTTCTTTCAGATTCCTCCCACTTATGCTGGCTGATTGTTGCCTGTTGTTATTGCTATTGCTGTTGGCCAGGAATTTTCATCACCTCTGTTTTCTCTATGTTCACCTGATGTCCTATCTTTGATGCTTTTTCTGCCAACTTGTTGCTTCTCGCTTGCATCAGACATATATCATCGGCGAAGTCCAGATCCTCCAAATTTTTTGTGAGTCCATTTTATGCCTGTTTCCTCATTGTCCGCTGTTTGTTGCATTATTCAATCTACTGCAATCAGGAAAATCATTGGAGATAGTAGGCAGCCTACTATATGATTACATGTAATCCATAGACATACACATTATGTGAACTTTTTAACTAAAAGTGGAAAATTTTCCCAATACTGTCTAGACACCTGTTCAACAGTCAGTATCTTTTGAGATAGGATAACTCATCCAAACAGTAATACTTAACTTATTGGGAATGTCAACTGTGGTTTGTTTTTATTTGTAATTGTAAATATTTAGGTGGAAGTAAAACATTCACATTTACTTGTTACTTTATAGTTGGGGGTAAAACACTTTCGTCTTTTATCAAATCCTCCTCCCTTCCTAATAACAAGTCAACTGAGAGTTATGGACATATAACGTGAGTTTAAAAAGTTTAACGGCAAAGTTAAACTTTAAGCCCTAAGTAGTTACCAACGGAAAAATAACCTTGAAAGTACCAACAATAGGGTAAAGGAGATTTGTGCATATAAAGTACATATAGTCATGAAAATAATCAATTAATTGGCATGAAACTGTTACATAAGATACCTTTCTCTGACGTATGATAAAAATAACTCTCCTTTTTAGATTGGACTATCGGCAGATTGATTTAACCACATTCTATGCATGTAATTATTTAGGTCTTCTAACGCTAAAGTGAAAATATCCCTAAACTAACCCTAATCTAACTCGAACCAACCCTAATGTTGCCCTCATTACGTTAACCTAACTCTAACCTGTCATCAGCCTAAACCCTAACTCAATCTTTCTCAAACCTAACCTGAAACTTGTCAGATATCCCAATTAATAACATAACACTTTATTGAGCATATTTTATTCATGATGACAACATTATCTGCCAGGTCTCGCTAACTTGCCCAGTGAGTGTTTCAAGGTCACTGGTATGGTCGCGCTCCATTGGTATTTACTGGTGCTTAAAGTTTAACTTGGCCAGTTTAACTTCCAACGGGCAGCAGAATTTTATCAACATCTGACGTCACATTCTCGATACTGAAGATCGGATAGCTGGGCAGAAAGGATGAGTAACAAGAAACTCACCTATTGCCCAACAAATGTGCAGAAGAAAATGGAGATGGATTGGACATATGCTGAGAAGACTTTTAAGTGAAATCACGCACTAGGGCCTCGAGTGGCACCCGAACAGGAAACAGCGAGTCAGGTGCGTTTCCTTGGGAGGTATGAAGGAAATCGTGTAAGGAGAAAAGGATACCGTATATGAAATTATGGAAGCAGCTGAAAAGGACTGCAGAGAACATGGTGAAATGGAGATGTGCTGTTGAACCGATATCCTCTACTCGGAGTCTAAGTGAATAATAGTAATAATAGTGATAATTTATGAAAAATGTCTCATTAACATTATGAGTCCCAGTTTATAAACTCTTTAGTTTAGTTCATTTGTGAGATATGCTTACAAGTTATGGTTAATAGGAAACGCATTCGCCAAAGAGACAGATACTATGTGTGTATTTCCAAATACATATAAAGACAGGGGATATATTTCTAAAACAGATGAATATCTATGAGTTCATGATCGGTAAATAGCCTTTGCATAAACTACCAATGATACAATTACAGGTTATTTAAAATAATGCCAGCATGTTTAAGAAAAAAAGCGAAACAATTTTTTCCCGAACGTTTCGCTATGTAAGCCACAGCTTCTTGAGTATTATTATGCTGAGCTAAGTAAACTAGATGGCTCACCATCACGATGTAGTTCAAACTGGTGTTAAGTGGTTGGGAGCGATTGGTAGGAGACAATGTTACCACTAAGTTATTCAAAGTCACAACTGACTTCCTGAAGAACTATAACCGTAACTTTGGTTGTGTACTAGGGAGTAACCAATGTTATTTTCCCAGCCCTTTGTGCTGACAGGACTTCCTGACAAACGCATCCAACTATATAGCACTTAATAAATAACATCAAATAAGTACTAGTAATGAATATAGCTATGTGGAACTGAAGAACTTCTTTGAAATAATCACTTGTTAATAAAATTATTCTTTCGATCTTATCTGCTTTGATCAAATAGTGATCACAAATGTGTGTATTACTACTGAGTAGAATGTTATTTTACATCGAAAACTGTATTAGGGTACAATTACAATATGGAATGATAGTTCCTCATTTTAAATTGTCAAATGAACGCATATAAGGTGTGCAGTCATTCAGAACATAAGATAAAGTATTGTGGTGAGTGCTACTTATAATCCGATATAAGTAGTATATCAGGAACGAAGTAACAACATGTTTGGCACACTGAAAAGAGCAATCAAAGAAGAGAACCATGAGAAGAATGTTGCCATATGATGCAGAATCCAAGAAGCTATCGAATGAGACGATATTCGACCAATTCGTCAAGGATGTGGTGAAGATGTGCAAATGGCCGGTTTAGAATATGGTATTCCAAATTTAGCTATGTACCATACGTTTCACCAAATAAACAATCCTTTCAGTCTCCTCAGTCTTGTCTTCTTCACATTTGGTGTCGCTGCCTCTGTCGGAGATGAAGGTGCCGTGGCCGCAGGTGTTCGAGGATGGAGATGTGCGGACGTTCCTCAGGGACTTCGAAGCTGTCGCGGAGCTGGTTGGAGTGCAGGAGCAGAAGGCGAAGCTGGTGGTCTTGGGAACGCTGCTGAGGGGCCGCGCGAAGGCTGCGTACGACAACGCTCGGGAGCTGGAAGG